CAGAAGGAGTTGCCATCTGTAATGAAAGCAAGCAAAGTTTTTTCAAGCATTCATGAGAAATTTTACCTAACAAAGAAATGACTGAAGTATTTTTCTTCAAAGCTGACTAAAGGTTTGTTGTAGAGTTCAGTAAAACTACAAGAGTTACAGCTGCTGTAAGTTGTTTAAAATACCTCCTTCAAACATGTAGTCCATGTGTAAAGTTACACCTGGAGAAACAAAGAATTCGGTGTCTCTGAGAAATGTAATTTCCTACCTCTGCCTGATCCCAACTGCTGGACTTTTTCTTGGCTGGAGTTTCATCACCAGAAGCCTGCTGATCCCATCTACGACGCTTCTTCTCTGAAATGAGATTTGTCACAATTCCATATTAGCGTTTGGACTACTAAAACTTCCTATCAACACTTTGATGTCATCAGCAAAGCATGCTACTTGCATCTATTTTACATGATTCTTTACCCTCCCAAAAATAAGATGAATATCCAACAATCACCAAAAGCACTGTGTTTTCTTGTTTTGATTTTATTACTTGTATAGGGGGATTTAAAACCTTAACTTCCAACAGTAATCAGTATGTGACCTCTCCCTATAATATCAGAACACAATCCAGCAGGCAGGTGATGAGGATACTCAAACTTATCAAGCATAAGCTGTTATCTTCGTTAATGCCAAATTATTGTAACTAATTTACAAGGAAAGGTTTAGTAGCTAGAGGGGAAAATTAATAGTTAGATCTTGGGTGTAAACTGGTTTACAGAAACACACCTGGTTTTGATGCCGCAGCTGGTTGAGCTCTTTGCAGTTCCCCTGAAGCTGCTTGGTCCTTGAGATGACGAAAGATTTCCGCCTACAATGAAAACACATGAAACTTATCACTAGCTGTTCTGACAGTTTTTACAAATAAAGATCACCCTGCTTGATAATTTGAAGGAGCATCGTTTAGAGGGTTTCAATGACAGAAGTTCTGTAATAACTCATAAAAAGAGGCCAAAATATCTAACGAAAATCTCTTATAAGGGCAAATATCATTTTAAAAAACAAAAACAAAAAACAAAAAAAAAACAAAAAAAAAAACAAAAGAAAAACAGTGGGAGTGCTTTACAAGAATAAGACAGTCCCTCTCAAACTCAAAATATCATTAAGTCCATGCTCTATTCAATGTGCACTGAATACAAACCTGTTCTTTCTGAAGATTTGTTTCTTGAATAATGTCCTGGTAGGTCCTCACATTTTTCATATGGGATGGATCGGGTGTTTTGCCACCTTGCAAGAGAAAAATTAAAAAACAGAAACAATATTAGCTGCTTTCAAATAACCAAACACAACAGCACATGACAAAATAACAGAATTATCACAGCAGCTTAGCTAACAATATGAAGCGGTGAAACAGATTTGAAAGTCCTATCACAAAAATATTCCATGCAATTTCTTGCAATATCACTCCTCTGAGATTCTTACACACCACTCTTACACACCACTTGCCAGTCTCTTCAACTCCATAGAAACAGTTCAATTGTAACTGTCATGCAAGGACTTTCAAGACCAGCAAGTGCATTTGTTAAAACTAAGCTGCTAGTTGTAAAGACAGATTCAGACTAACAGACAAAATAACACAAGTGAAGGTGTAGTCTGATCGTCCGGGTGAGTGTAGTCCTGAGAAGGACTGTTGTCGGTGGTAGTGACTGACGTTTCGACAACCTGTGCGGAAGTCATCATCAGAGTCAAGAGTGACTCTGATGATGACTTCTGCACAGGTTGTCGAAACGTCAGTCACTACCACCGACAACAGTCCTTCTCAGGACTACACTCACCCGGACGATCAGACTACACCTTCACATGTTACCCCTGGGTTCAAGCCATTTACTGCAAAATAACACAACATATGTACAATTGATTTTTTTTTGTCTGGAAAGGTGGCTGCGGCAAGGTAACACCAACCCAGTGGCTAGTCTTGAGATGACTCACTGACGTCGCATCTTGGCATGGCATCGAGTTAGTTGATAAACTCAAGCACTTCTCCTATTTAAAAATTCTTCAGAGGTCAGTAATCGACCACTGTGTAGTATCAGTACTGGCTTTGTTCATCTTATTTTAAGTATTTACTGTGTATTCTACAATCTACAAGTATGAACTTTCAATAACCTTTCCTCACACTTTGAGGAAAGTTTTCTTTTCCAAAATTCTTTTTCTTTTTGGAAATTGACTAATTTTTTTGACTGGAGGAATTTATCTTAGTATAATAGTAGAATGTGTTGTCTCTTTCTTATAGGGAGTACGACCTTTTTTGTTTGTTTGTTTTTTTTTTTATGATTAAAATCCAACTCTGTGGTTCAGAAAATTGACCACTGTAAAGGGTCCCTGTGCATACAGGTGTATAAATTGCTGATCAAAAACCTACACAAAACATTCAAGAATGCAAGTTGCTTTTGAGGATAACACTTGAATGAGTGTTTTAAAATTTGAACAGCTATCAATCCTTGAATTATTCAAATATCCTCTCTTAAAAATTACATAGCCTTGAAATCGTGCTAGAGACCACATTTTGTTCCACAGGACTAGAACCAATAATAAAACTTGAATTACAGTATCTCTAAACGACCAACACTGAGACAAATACTCTTGTATTTATTTTGTGCAGTTGATGAGTGAAGTTTCCATCACCGCTGAATGAAGAAAAGGGGTTTAGGAGTAAGTAAAATGAATTCAACAGTTCTTACTTAAATCATTACTGAAAAGAGCAGTTTTTGACTGACACACAATGACCAAAAAATCAAGTCTAAAAGCACATGGAAAACAAAGTATGGTCCAGCCACTGAAAAAAAACATGTACCAAATAATATTTTCAAAAAATGAAATTCAAATGGTTTTAAATTTCTGGCACGCAGAGCAGGATTCTTTGATAATCCAAGTATATGAACTTTGAATTAAAAGAAAGCTATATACAATACACAGTGTAATTTTCCTCATTATAGCCAATCAAAAACTGCTCTATCAAGCCAGACTAACAACACTGCAGAGGCAAGAGAGCCTTTCACAAAGAACCCAATAAAGTTTTGCATGAGCAAAACATCTACTTTGTGTTCAAGTGACTGATGGAAAAAGCAATGCTTACTAAATTCAAGGCAACTTGAGGAATTACAAGAGACTGAAAGGGTCAACAGCATTAATTATGGAATATAATTTCTTTCTCACAATGAGCTGGATAGTGCTGCTTCGTTTGATAATTTAAGCACTTTTCAGTGGTTGGAGGCACAGATTCTTGGCAATAAGCTCCCTTGCCAATTCTTTAAAGGAATACCACTAAGAATGCTTAAGTGGAAGACTTGATTATTAAGAAACAAGAAATATCCAAAGGTTCTTGTGCTATCAATTTGCCTGTCTTCATAAGAATTCTGACTGAACGTTAAGAACTGCACATTGTATGTGACAGTTAAGAAGTAAATCAGTCAATAAATAAAACTGAACTTGATTACCAGTCAAGCTAATTTTGTTCACTGAGAAAACATTTCCAAGTCAATTCAAGACAAGGTTGCAGCTGGTTGTTGGAATGAGTCCCAAAAAGTGATCATTTTTTTTCTCATCTTACACTTAATAAAAATTATGTGACCATCGTCGTTGTGGACAAATTGTTAATTCCAACCTCAGTTCCCTTCCTTCATGATTATTTTGTTCCATATTTAACACACATAAGAGAAACACTAGTATAAAGAATAATTAATAAAAGTCCATCAATCTATGACACCTACCATTTGCAAAAGGATCATGCCTTGGTGGTGATATCACCATCTGCCTTCTCCTTGCTCTGTATTCATCTTCACGCTCAGCGATGGTTTGCTGTCTGTGCTGTGCAAATGGATCCACCTGTACTCGATGAAGATAAAAGAACCTGTTATTCTTTTTTTTTTTATCAAACTCACTTCCCTTTCACCCTTTACACCTTAACATCAGAATGCATATTCTCCATACTGTTCTCTATATATATTTCCTTAGGTACTGACAATGAGAATTTGATAAACAAACATGATTTTCTTTTAACTTGATGATCATTTCCTGTGTTCTTGTCACCTTGATGTTTGATTCCTTGAGTTTGATGCTAGTCCCACTGAATGGTTGAAGGGTTAATTCAGGGGTTTCATTAACATTTTTAACAGGAGGGCAACCAATTTTCACAGATGGGCAAAACTTTTTGAACTGAACTTCTTTATAACAAAAACTTTCCTCTATATGGTCAAACCAGGTGAGCAAAATCTTCCTCAAAAATGGTCAATTTGCCTGGTGCCCAGCCCTTAATGAAACCCCTGTTAATTTGATACCGTATTTCACTACTCTATACACGCTATGCATAATGAAAATTTGCTTAACAAGCCTGGTAACAAGTTTGCACGAAAGTGAGGTCCGTCGGGCTACTGTGTTTTTCTTCCTTCGGAGGCTTTTACCTTGGTTAACACAAAATGAGCTCGGTTGCAAACAATCTAAAGCTTTCAGATGCAGATATTCCTGGTTCATCACTAAGTGGGAGAGCTCCAGCCAATTTAAATGTACAAGAACTAAAATTCTGGCTCAAATGCAGAGGACATCCCGCCAAAGGTATAAAGACGAAAGCCCAACTTGTTAAAAGGTAAGACAACAACAATTATACCTACTTTTAAAATGTCAAGAAGCTCATTGATATTATTAATTGGCCATGAAAGAAAAGAAAAACCCTAAAATTTTCTAATCAATCCAAGAGATATTGAATTCAGATTGTAAAGCTATAGGTGGCTCAGACTCGATCGTTTTCGATTTAAATTGCGTTCTGCACCTCATTCGACACGAAATGAAATGAAATATGAAATGTATAAACATTTACGCTTCGAATAGACTTTATTTTCGTCTGGATCCACTACATTTTTGTCTTTTCCAGCCTTGATATACTCTTCTACCCTTTATATCAAACGAGAGAAATTTCAAGTGTTTTTATATGTTGATCCAACATATGAACGTATCGAACGAGGTGCGGA